CCATTTTACAGATTAGGAACCTGGGGCAGAGAGTTAAGCTAGAGGCCAACTAGTCCCTAATCCCCTGATTCCCCGCCTCATAAACCTTTGTACCGTGCTAGGCTCCTGGGAATCCTGGAACTTAGAAACTATTTGTGTATTATGTGGAGAGAGGGGTAAGAGTCCATAAATCAAACCTCTAATCAAATGTGGATTTGGGGGAGGTATATAGGGTCCAAGAGCTGGGGATATTGTAGCCCCAGCTGGTGAACCACCAGCATCTCCCGTCACCTCGGACTCCCGAGTCCCTAATGAGAGCGAAATGTATTGAGCAGCTGCGATATGTACAGTACCGCCTGACAGGAAGTGCCCAGAGCAGTACCCGGAAGTAGTTGGTTTTACCGATAAGAAAACTAAGGCCCAAAACAAATGGTTGCTGTCTAAGGTATAACAGTGCCTAAGGAGTAGAGACAGGATTGAGACCCAGAAAGTTTGGTTCCAGGGCCGGAGCTCCTTGCTCCTGGCACTGCCTGTGTGATCCAGTTCCAGCCAAGGAGGAGTGGCAGACAGGTTGGCTCCCACCTGCCTCCTTCATCTCGGTGGCTGGTCACCTTCTTTGTGCCTGCTTCCTCAGAGTTCAACAGGGAAACTGAATCTTACTGCACTGTGGCCCTACATGAGTTCATGTTTGTGAAAATGCACACCACCTCCTACCAGACAGGTGAACTGAGATCCGACTTCTAAAAGAGTATTATTCTCCATCCTTGAAAGTCAAGGCCAGAAGTGGCAGTGCTGGTTGATCATAGTCAGGCTGGGGGCCTGTGTACAGTTACCCTTTCTGCAGGACTTGAGTCAGCATTGGCCTCTGGGCCCAGCAAGAGCCACAGCTGACTGCTGGGACATGTCCTCGGGGCCATGGCTCCCAGATGGCAAGATTTTCCCAAGGGGAAAGCAAATGGTTGAGCTTCGCTTGGAGGAGGCTATGATGCCAGGCCTCCTGCCCAGAGCCCTCTCCCGTGTCAATATCTGGCCTCAAGTACCCTTGCATTCATCATCATCATCATCATGATTCATGATCTGTAGCTTTTGCAGCCCCTGGGTTCCATGTTTTACGTATATTACTTTTTCCTTCCAAATCCACGTGAGACAGATTCTAGTTTCATCCTCACTTTATTGATAAACAAAGGGAGGCCTCGTAAGATTAAGAAACTTGGCCAAGACCACACGGCTATCGAAGAGCAAAGCTGGGATTTGAACCCAGTTTTATCCAGTCCTCAGGCCTGTGGGTTTCATGGTTTATTGCTTTGTCCCCAAATGTCCCAATTTGGGGTTCAGAATATACAGAATATATGGTCTTTCATGTCCAAGAAGTCCTCCCTCTGGACCGTAGTATGAAAACTGCAGCCCAAGCGTTCCCTAGGCAGGCTCAGGCCCTCACACACCCAACTCTTATTTTTTATTTATTATTCTATTATGATTTCCCTGACGCTGGGCAGAGTGCATCTTCTCAGGTTTGAATTTTCACTTCTAGAAATTTCAAAAAGTTTAAAATAATTTCATTCACAAAATGACCCTAGTTGTTAGAGACATTTGATTCTTTTCCCAGAGGCCCCAGGTTGGTCAAGGGGGCTGCAGGACCATAACTCTCAAACTTCACTGGGGGGTGGGAACAGCTAGCTCCTGTTGTCTACCCCAAGGGCTGGCGCCAGTGTTCCTACAAATCTGGAATGAAGGGTCCTCTGGGGATGCTTTGGACACCCCTGGCCTGAAGGTTTAACCTTGTGACCAAGTGCAGGGAAGCTGTGATCCCCAGCTACTGGGCTCTGGGTGCCAGAGGCTCCCTGTGAATAAGGCCTCTTAAGACAGGCCAGGCTTTCTCTGATCTACTGGGGGAAAGGAACTGGGGCCCACGTGCAGCTAGGGAGGCTCAGGTGAGCATTCCTCAGAAAATGCCTCTAAAGCAGGAGACGCCAAAGTAGGGCAGAGTGGGTCCTGACCCAGCCATAAACTTGTGTGACTCTGGGCCCTCTCTGATCATCATCTGTAAATGTAGAGTCTGGCTATAGAACCGGTGTCTACACTGAATATTTCTCCCTGTGTTTTTGAATTGTAATCCCTGTCACATCCCCGCTGCATGAGATTAACTCTCAGGGTAGCAAACGTAGGTGTGCTTGATTGTACACAGCAAACGCATACTGACTATAATCTATAATAACTGATATCTATTGAGTGGGCCTCTATGTGCCATGTGAAATGATTAACATTGGTTACACTGACTACCTCACTGAATGCTCACAGCGACTTCGTGAGTTAAGTACTGGCATCATTCTCGTTTTCACCAGAAAACACTGAGGCTGAGAGAAGCGGGGCCACTTGTCAGGGCCTGCAGTTATTTGGCATCAAGGCTGGGATTTGCAGCTGGGTCCTCCTGATCTCAGAGCCTGTTTGCTACGTCTCTGCTATATCATCTCTTTTCAGTCTTTCACATTTAACCCCAAAAGCAAGTCACCTGTGTGCTTGCCTTTCTCTAATCATTTAAATCAGAAACCACAGGAAAGCAGCAACAAAAATTGCATCCAATTCTTCTTCACCCAGAAATAATAATTGGCAGTTTGATATTTATATTCCTAGATTTCATATACAATTATAAATATATATTTGTACTAAAAATATCTCATGGCATTTTGCAGCCTGTTTCTCCAAATAATATGAGAACATAAACATCTTTTCATATCGTTAGTTATTCTTCCACAATGTATTTTTCATAGTTGCATAATATTATATAATATTACATCATTTACATCATTTGGATGATACACTATTTAGGCAATCCCCTACTGTTGGACATTTAGATTAGTTACAATTTGTCACCGCTATAAACAATGCTGTGGTGGGCATCCCTATGGCTAATTCTTTGCTCTGGTTAATTTTTTAAGATACGCTTTGAAAAGTGAAGTTGCTAGGTTAATTGTAAGGCTTCGAGTCTGTACTAAGGGACTCCAATGTGACTGTTGTTTGAAAAGTAAGGGCTCTACCTTCTGCAAGCCAGGCCTCCTCATAGAGAAACTCTACTAAACAAAAACTCTGCCTCTGGCTTGACTCTGCGAAGTGTGCCTTACTCTCAGCCTTATCTGAACAGCCAGAGCCTTTCGGAGAGTCACATTTCATCACTATTTTATGGTGGGGACAGGTTCCTCTGGGACCTGGAACTCATCCTCTCGACACCAATATGCCGAAAATGAAATGTATTCAGTCTCATTCATGTTTGCCACGTGTATCCCCACATGACCGTAAAGGAGGAGCAGAGAGGGGGAGAATTCCTTGGGGAGCATCCCTTCCAGTTGGGACACTCAGTGACCTCTTTCTCTTGCCTCAAAGAAACGTAGGGTATGCAGGAAGTGGGAGGAAGCTGGATGGGAAGAAGAAGTAGAAGGAGGCAGGTGGGAGCAAGGTGGTGACCAGAGAGGCTGACCCCAACTTTTCTCCCATATGCTTGATCACAGAGAGAAGTCTCAGCTGCTACCAGAACCTGGTCAGGGGCCAGCCTACCCTCTAAGTAGAGAGACCACCACCCATGGCCCAAGCTGAGGACCTGACCTGGGGCACCAGGGGAGGCTGGGACAAGATGGAGGATGGCGCCCAGATAGGAGAGGAGCTGGCTGAGCCGCAGGGAGAAGCCAGCAGGAGCTGCACCTCCTGCTTCTGGAGCCTGAGGGAGAGAGAAAGGACGTGTGGGGCATGGTGAGTCGGGGGCTGTCCTCATGCCGTGGCTCCCTCCATGCCAGGGGCCTCTGCGAGCTGAAACATGAAAGGTCTTTGGATCAGAGGGAGCTGGGAGCCTGCTTGCCCTGCAGCTGGAAAGAAACTTAAATTGTTCAAGTTCTCTCACTTTTCCCTGAAGACCGATTCCCATTTTCCCCTTTTGCTATTACTTTTTTTAAGAGCCTTGCTACTCTGCAGGCACATTCTCAGGTTCTCTGCCTGTCTGCAGCATATATGCATATGCATGTGTGTGTATGCATGTGTGTGCATGTGTGTGTATGCATGTGTGTGTATGCATGTGTGTGCATGTGTGTGTGTGCGTGTGTGTGTGTGTTGGGGGAGGGTGGGGAGCCTATGACCGGTTGCCCCCTTGAACACCACCAGGGGCCAGTCCAGGCCCCTCTGTGCCCTCTTCTGAGTCTCCAGGGCCGGCTCTCTCCTGGCAACTCCAGAAAGTGCCTCCTCACCTCAAAAGACCAAGAAACAAGGCTTCTGATAAAGTGTCCCACCCAGTCCAGGCTGGGGCAGTTGGTCTGAGAATGAGCGGACATTGCGGGGAAGAGGAGGGAGAATAAAGGGGATGGGAAGAGAGGCTCAGAGAAAACGAGAGGTAGAGAGAAAGGGACAGAGTGGAAGAGAAGGAGGAAGGGGAGAAGCTGGGGAGATAATGAGGATGGAAGCGAGAGACAGAAGTGGAAAGAACTGGAAGCCTAGAGACAGAGCGGGAGAGAGAGAGAGAGAGAGAGAGAGAAAGAGAGAACAGGAATGAGCAGCTGTGATGTGGCCAGAGCAGTTCATAGAAAAGAAACTCAGTTCAGGGCAGAAGGGAGGAAAGAAAATAAGAAAGAAACAGAATGAGATGCAAAGAGGAGAGGAGGGAGAGAGAAGGAAAGCGAGGAGGGTAAAAAATGTGAGGAAAGAGAAGGACAGAAAAAAAATGAGATGAAGCAAGACAGAATAAAGGAGGGAAAAAAAGAGGGGAATCAGGAGGATGGTGAGAAAAGACAGGAGGGAAAGCCGGGAGAGAGGATAGAGGGGCGTCCTTGCTGCGCTGCATGTCAGCTCTGGTAAGCCGTCTAGCATGTCATTAGTGGGGATCTAAGGCGCCAGCGGGAAAGTCCCCTCCCAGTGGGCTGGAGGCTGAGGGAGGGCGGGCCCTGGGCTGGGATCTGCAGGCAGGTGGCCGCCCCTGGGTGGGGCCGGCCGGCCAAGCCCTCGGGGTATAAGTGGGAGGCCGGGCCTGCTGAGCACCTGTCGGGGGCAGCTCCTGGGTGCAGGTGCCAGGTAGGTGGCTCCGGCCAGCCCAGCCCCAGCATGAGCTCCTTCGACCTGCCGGCGCCCTCCCCACCTCGCTGCAGCCCCCAGTTCCCCAGCATCGGCCAGGAGCCCCCCGAGATGAATCTCTACTATGAGAACTTCTTCCACCCACAGGGCGTGCCCAGCCCTCAGCGGCCCTCCTTCGAGGGGGGCGGCGAGTATGGGGCCACCCCCAACCCCTACCTCTGGTTCAACGGGCCCACCATGACCCCGCCACCCTACCTGCCCGGCCCCAACGCCAGCCCCTTCCTGCCCCAGGCCTATGGCGTGCAGAGGTCGCTGCTGCCCAGCGTGTCCGGGCTTGGGGGGAGCGACCTGGGCTGGCTGCCCATCCCTTCGCAGGAGGAACTGATGAAGCTGGTGCGGCCCCCCTACTCCTACTCGGCTCTCATCGCCATGGCCATTCATGGGGCACCCGACAAGCGCCTCACCCTCAGCCAGATCTACCAGTACGTGGCCGACAACTTCCCCTTCTACAACAAGAGCAAGGCCGGCTGGCAGAACTCCATCCGCCACAACCTGTCGCTCAACGACTGCTTCAAGAAGGTGCCCCGGGATGATGACGACCCGGGTAAGGAGGCTTTGAGTGTGGGGGGTGTCCCCAAGGAAGGCTCACTTCCTTCCTTCCCAAGACCCCATTCTAGAAAGTTCTGACTAGGGCTGTGCCCCCTGAGACTGGGGGATGCTACCAGGCAGGGCAGAGGGGAGCTCAGCAGTGGAGGAGAACGTGGACGTGGGGGAAGATTGGGTTTTCAGTCCTGGCTGTGGTCCTGCCCAGTCAGTGACCTCCAGCAGGTTAGACCTCAGAGCCTCAGTTCCCTCATCAGAAAACCAGGGATAGTGATGGCATCTGCTTTGCAGGCTACAGTGGAGGTGATGAGATAATGTACTCAAGGTCTTTGGTGTTATCAAGCGCTTAATCGCCAGCAGGAATTACGATCATCTGCATCTCCAGCACCCAGCACATAAAAAGTCTTTGGTGAATGAATGACTGGACCAAGTAAAGCCCAAGGGCATCCCAAGACTGCCGAGAAGAGGATCTGACCTGGGTTAAACAGCCACTATTGGCCCATTTTGCTGCCTGCCCTATTTCTACTTATGTAACTTCCTTTAACCCCAAGACACCCCTGCAGGGTAGCTCTTATTAAACCCATTCTACAGATTAGGAAAATAACACTCAGAGGTGACACAGAATGAAGTGATATGATGGAGCTTGAATTTAAACTCAGTTTTCTCTAACATCAGAAATTGTGAGCTTTTCCTTTCCAATGATGCATTTCTAAAACTCAGAGACCTGCAGAGAGGCGTGTACTAAATAGTCATGCATCCATTTCCCAGAATTAAAGTCCATTTTTGTTCCACCGCAGGAAGCCAAGGTATAGCTCAGAGGAACCCCAACTCTGCCCCATTTGAGGTTGGCAAGCGCCAGGCCTGTTTGTCCCCAGAAGAGGGCAAGTGTTCTGTCCAAGGACTGCTGTCACCCTCAGGCTGAGAGACGGTAGCAGGAAGAGTTCAGGACTTCCCTCGAGATGGTACCTCCCAGCTGCAAAGCCCCTTTCCATATCCAGTGTCGATCGTTCTCAGTGAGCCTGAGGAAGACAGGGGCAACGGGCCCACTTTTCAGACTAGGAAACTGAGGTTCTCCCAAAGCCTCTCAGTCAGTGAGGAGCAAAGCCAGGACTCAAGTCTGTCTTCAGACTCCAAGCCTAGGACTATTAGGGAGTCCCAGAGTTTTTCCTGAGTCTTCTTTTCCTTCAGCATTGAAAGCCCTCCATCCTGCATCCCCCAGCCTCTCAGCATCCCTGCCCCCAGTACTTCATCCTTCTTAAAGAGACCTACATTGCAAACTCCTTAATGCCTGTGCCTCTCGGCTGCCGTCCCAGAGGGCCCCGGCATGGGCTGCTTAATGAAAGATGGAGGTGGTGTGGTCCATCAGTTGATGGAATTCCTTCATTCCTCAGTCCCTGCCTTTGGGTCTCTGTCTTCCTGTATCTGTCACCTTGTCTTTTAGTTTATGACAATAAGAAGGAACAGAAGCAAAGCGTTTTGTCCACCTCTCTACTTACCCCCTTTCACTTTTGTATCAGGCAAAGGGAATTACTGGACCCTGGACCCCAACTGCGAGAAGATGTTCGACAATGGAAATTTCCGCAGGAAAAGGAAGAGAAAATCAGATGTTTCCTCCAGCACAGCCACCTTGGCCTTAGAGAAGACAGAGAGCAGTCTCCTGGCAGGCAGCCCCAAGACCACGGAGCCTCAGGACATCTTGGATGGAGCCTCACCAGGGGGCACCACCAGCTCCCCAGAGAAGCAGCCCTCCCCTCCCCCATCGGGCACCCCTTGCCTTCACAGCTTCCTCTCCTCTATGACAGCCTATGTGAGCGGGGGGAGCCCCACGAGCCGCCCCTTGGCCACACCAGGACTGAGCCCTGAGCCCGGTGACAAGACGGGACAGAACTCACTGAGCTTCAACTCCTTCTCCCCGCTCACCAACCTCAGCAGCCACGGCGGTGGGGGTGACTGGGCAAACTCCATGCCCACCAACACGCTCGGCTACGGAGGATCTGTGCTCGGCCAGTTCAGCCCTCACTTCTACAACAGTGTCAACACCAATGGTGTCCTCTACCCCAGGGAGGGCACTGAGGTCTAGGTACAGAACAGCTCCTCAGCCAGATGGACATGCCAGAAAGAAAAGCAGTGGAGGTCCTCCATGCCAGCCCCATGGTGGTCCATGACTGTGGAACTGCCCAGACATAAGCAGGAGCCTCCAAGGAATCCACCCTCTTTCTAGAACACTGGTTAAGGCTTCTGTTTATCACACATAGGCCCACACACAGAATCACCAACTTTGCAATGGAAATACTGGTGCCTGCAGAGCAGCAATAACAGTGGCAGGTGCTGTACTAGGCTCTGTACTGGCCACACTTACTGACAGTCACCCTGTAAGGTTCACAAACCTCCCCATTGAACAGATGAGGAAACTGAGGCTCAAGGAGGTTAAGTAACATTTCCAGGGTTATATAAACTAGTAAATGGCAGAGCTAAGAGTCAAATCCAGTTCTATGTGATCCTCAGAGATTGGAGGCTGGGATAGAGAACTGGTTGAGTAGCCAAGGAAGGTCAGTGTGAAAAGCTTGCTATGGCAAATAGAGCAAAATCTCTCCGCTGCTTTCTGTCCACCAACATTTAGTGTCAGCCCCGGCACATCTTGTCCTGGTCCAAGACCTTATTCTGCTTGCCCCAACTTCCCTGCAGACACTCCTTTTGCTACCACTCAAGGAAGGAAGTCACCAGTGGCCTTAGTGCAGGAAACTCAGCCCTGGTGGCCCTGCAGAACAATGCATCTAACATGTGCAGTGCATCCCCATGGAGAGACATCATTGCTCCCTAGCCCCCAGAAACCTTGAGCAGATCCAGGGCTCAGTGAGAGGAGTGGTGTGTACCCCTAAATCCTCCCACCCCAGCAGTGCCCATCTGTAAAATCTTGTAAAGCCCAGTTTCCTGTGTGCATGTCATGGGCCAGTGAGCTGGAGATGGCTGAGTCTTCCAAGAGAAACAAGGCTGGATAAGCGCTTCTTTTTTTTTTTTTAAGCCCAGGAGAGGTGGATGTTTGTCTGAGAAAACAATGGCCTCAAGGGAGGGACTCGGGCCACCCTCACATGGGGTCTCTGCGTGATCTCCTGGATTTCTCCTTGTTTTTGTGAGTACTTTTTATGCCGGTGATGTTTCATCACAGAACACCCTGGGAAGTGTTGTTTGTTTTATTTTCTTTTTAATTAAAAAAAAATGTGGTGCAGAAGCGTGGGCCTTCTTTATGAGATTTCCTGTCTCTCGGCTGCCTAGTGCGTTCAACAGGGGGCCAACTGCTGCCTGGAGCTGAAGGCATTTGGGACAGGAGACAGAGAAAGAATGCATATCAAGACTCAAGACTCTTTTCACCTCTGCATTGGTGTGCAGCCCAGACAAAAGCCCCCAAGGAAAAGAGGGGAGTCTGGGAAGGGAGGATAGGGTCATGGAAGGAATCCATTAGTACCATATCCCAGTCTTTATAGTTCATGCAAACCTCTTAACTGTGCTATGATCATTTAATTCTAACAACCCCGCGAAGAGGGGGGTAGTAGTCTCATTATACAGATGAGAAAACTGAGGGTCCGAGTGGTTGAGAGATTCGCGTGAAGTCCACATCCAGTCCATACCTAGGTTTGTCTGACCCTGCACCTCATCATGCTTCAGGATGGTCTCAGATGTGACCAACGCTAGAGGCAGTAACAACAGTACTATGGGCTGCAATTCGCTGAGGGCTGTGGGCAGTTCCCGGGTCAAGAGCTGTGTAGGTGGGACCCTTTTTATCCTTACAGCAGCCCATAAGTGTGTACGCTGGTGATCCCCTGGGGTCCCTGACACAATGCCTGCTGCAGGACTTGTGCATTGAAGGTGGATTTTTTGTTAGGAGTTCTCTCTTTAGGTGTGCACGGAGAGGGCACCAGGGATAGCTGGCCATTCGCATTGCTGCCTACTCAAACCCTGGGGCCTCTCTTTCCTTGGAGTGACAGAGGGGAGCTGGTAAATAACAACAACAATAACAATGATGATTGATGATGATGATGATGGTGATGATGATGATAAGAGCGTTCATCATGGGTTGACCATGTACAAGGCACTGCATTAGGACTTGACCTGCTTTATTGTATTTAATCCTCAAAATAATCCAGTGCACTCAATACCATTATTTTCATAGGTATTATTATTGCCATTATTGTACAGGTAAGAAAACTGAGGCCCAGGGAGATTCATACCTTGACAGAAAGCAGCCACAGTCAGGACTCAAGCAGATCCATTGATGCCTTGGTTAAAGTGCTCCTCCACAGAATCTAGCAATGGGGAGCCCAGGACCTACCACAGGACAGCAAAATCATGACAACCAAGAGAAAAAGAAGCAGGGCTGCCTGAGAACCCCTCAGCCCCTTTCCCTGGGAGTCCTTTTCCGCAGGGATACTTCTGGCAGATTCCATGTGGCCTACGAAAGTAAAAGGATGGGACATGGTGTCAGACTGTCAGACTGTTAGAAAACCCAAGATAGGCCTGCCCCTTTCTGCAGAGAAAGGAAGCCTACAGCTTGGAGGGAAGGCACTCCACAAATGTCACCAGGACAGTGAGGTCAGAGTCAGAATTAACATGCAAGTCCCTGAAGCCCAGACTAGGATTCTTTGTCACACTAGATCCCTCTGTCACCAAATTTGCCCAAACAGACCACCCTCTCCATTGATCATCTCACTGCCTGCTCTTCAGCTCCTACTCCTTCCCCCAGGTGGGTCTGCAATGGGCGAGGGCCTGGGCCAGAAACGAGGTGTGAAGGGGCCCAGGGAGAGCCCAAGCCAACCCGGAAGGGAGCCGGCCAAGGGAACCAAGGCCCACAACCTCAAGTCGCCAGTCTTCTTCAGCACAAAATTCAATGATGGGCACAAGCAGAAAGGAGAAAGTGTTTAGGGCTCTGACAACACAAAGACCCTGCCAACTCTTGCCTGTGGCCCTGCAAGGAGTTCCTGGTAGCAGCGCCAGGAGCTCATGGGAAGCGTGGCTCTGCAAGCACCCAGAGGGGCACAGCTGAGGGGAGTCGCAGGCCAAGAAGGGGTCTCCCAGTAGCTTCCATGGTGGCTGCCTGCCCCTCCTTTGGTTCTCTTCCTCTGAGAAGAAGAGAGAGGGAGGGAGGCAGGGAGGGAGGAAAAGGTGGGATAGAGGAAGGGAGGGGTAAAGGACTGGTTATTTACCAAGCACTGAATCGTGTGTGCAGTGCTGTGCATGGACACTTGCATGATTAGCCTCCTACTCTTTGGCTCCATGTTGAAGCCATGGTGTCCAGCATCCATAAAGGGTCTGAGAAAAGGGCCACCTGGAAGGCTGCCTGGAGGAGATGCGACTGGAGCTGAAGGATGGTGAAAGTGAGCTGATTCAAACCACTAATTTACCCTCACCCTCCAACAGCCAAACTCGAATCCTCCGCAAGCCCTGAGTTAGCGTGCCTCCATTTCCAAGTGACGTGGAGGTTGGGGGAAGTAGGCCTCAAAGCAGAATATATATGTATAATATACGTACATTTCATAATCCCATTTATTTTAGTAGGCAAAGTTGCAAGAGGAAAAGTTGGGCAATACTATACATAAAATACTAGCAGTCATTGTCTGGTGGCTAATAAAATATTAGGTGTGGCTTTTGGTCATTGTGTTTATCTCTTGTGTACAGTGGACATATTGTCATCCCAGGCCACCACAGCTAGATACCACTGCTTCCAGTGACAGAGGTGCAAGAGACCTGCCATATTGTCCCATGGTCCCCCCCCAGCACAGATGACTCATCCTGACAGACACCTGACCCAAGCTGAGGTCTTTCTGCTATGGCTGAGGAATGAGTCCCCTTAGCACAGACATGGCTCTTAGGCAGCCACCATTGAAAGAAAGGGGAATCAATGTGAGACCAACGACTTATCTAAAATGTGAGATTCAAGGCTGGGTGTGGTGGCTCCCACCTGTAATCCCAGCACTTTGGGAGACTGAGGCAGGAGGATCATTTAAGTCCAGGAGTTTGAGACCAGCCTGGGCAACACAATGAAATCCCATCTCTACAAAAGATTTTTAAAAATAGCCAGGTGTGGTGGCGTGTGCCCGTAGTCTCAGCTACTCAGGAGGCTGAGGTGGGAGGATCACCTGAGCCCAGGAGACGGAGGTTGCAGTGAGCTGAGATCATGCCACTTCACTCCAGCCTGGGCAACAGAGTGAGACTCTGTCTCAAAAAAAATAAAATAAATAAAATAAATCGTAAGAGTCAGAAAAACAAATGCTCAGACTTACTGAAAAGCTAATGCCAAGCTGGTGAGAGTGTTGTGGGAGTTAAAAGGTGGCAGAAGCTCTCCTCGGAGTTCCTGGAGGGTCCAGCAGAGATCAAGGCACAAGACTGGAAAGGAAGGGGGGTTTGAGGAGAGAGCGGAGGGGTCGCAGGGAAGTAGCCAGCATTTATGAGCCCCTGCCATGCACTAGGCCCTGGGGACTCATGGAACATGCAGTTGTCTCCTGTCATCTTCACAATGCCCTGGGCCCGGGGGAACATTTTAACCATTTGACCTATGCAGAAACTGGGACACCCAGGGTTTACACAGCCTCTCAAGATCTCAGACCACAGTCTACACGCTTTAAATATTAGGCTCCCCCACACCCCTGTAAATGGGCACTGTGAGGCCTGCCATCAAGTGAACCATCATTCTCCTTGCTAGAGAGAGCATAGGGACATAGCATCCGTATCAGGAAAGCCACGTCGGCCAGCACATCACAGCAGGCCCAAGCTTTGTCTCTGTGGGAGGCTCAACCCCCTGCCCTAGACACGGACTTCATGCCTGCCCCCTGCTTTGCTTCAGCCCAGAAGGAGAGAGACCTGGGCTGCTTTTTCTGCTGACCTGCCTTTTGATATTCTCCTTAGGAGCTGCTGTGAAAACACAATGAAGTTGGCCTTTGTCTCTGACTTTCTCTATTCAGTGCTTCTTTGAGGTTCTTGTGGGGCAGAAATATTGCAATGCTGCAGGCACCATTTGCTTCCTTTTACTTGTGGGCCCCCACATGACCCATTGGACATATGCTCCTCCCTTGCAGAAGTCTTTGGAATCCCAAGCAGAAGGCCAAAAATGCAGGGTGTGTCCTGGAGGTGGTATAACTATTTGGGGGAACTCTCCTGCTTTCTTTCAGTTCAGGCAGATGAGGTAACAGCAACATTTAACATTTGTTGCATGTTTAGGACGAACTATGTACTTCTTTTTTTTTTTTTTTTGAGACGAGGTCTCACTCTGTCACCCAGGCTGGACTGCAGTGGTGTGATCTCGGCTCACTGCAACCTCTGCCTCCCGGGTTCAAGTGATTCTCCTGCCTCAGCCTCCCGAGTAACTGGGACTAGAGGCGCCCGCCACCATGCCTGGCTAAGTTTTGTATTTTTAGTAGAGATGGGGTTTCGCCATGTTGGCCAGGCTGGTCTCAAACTCCTGACCTCAGATGATCCACCCACCTCGGCCTCCCAGAGTGTTGGGATTACAGGTGTGAGCCACCGTGCCAGGCCTATGTACTTCCTATAGATTGCTTAGCAATCTCAATGCCACTGAGGCTGACACTATCATTATTTGTATTTGGTATGGAAGTAAACCAGTATTCAGAGACATTGAGTAACTTTTCCACAGGGGCAGGAACTATAAAAGAATAATGCACAGAGTCGACTACATACAAATGAGTTGTTTCTGTACGGCAAAATCTCCATCAACAGAGTAGGAAAGTAAACACAAAGGGAGAGAAGTGTTACAGTATACATGTCAAAAATTTAATAACTGTATTATAGGGAGATCTCTGGCCAATTAGTAAGATAAAGACTTTCCCAGCAGAAAATGGGCAAATCTATTTTCACCAACAAAGAAATGCAAATAGATAATAGACACATGAAAAGAAGCCTAGTCTCACAAATGATCAAAGAAAAAAGACCACGGTGATATTGTATCCTTCCCGCCGACACATTAGCAAAGCCTAGCACTGTCAAGAACAGGAGGAAATAGGGGCC